ACTTATAATTTTAATAATACTAATTATATTATAATAATTATACTATTATACTTTTACTTAGTACTGCTTTTATACTACACGATCTGTAAGGCAGCGGGCCCCCCACAAGGTGCTCGACTTTCAAAGAGATACGGAGTGCAAAGTCATACTCCAAAAGGATGTCCCCAAATGACTGCCGAGCCGAGCCTCTGGACGGGAGGAGAACCTCATTTATCTGACTACTATAGACCAACAGGCGCCGCAGGGTTACTCGGCTGCTTGGCGATATTCCCGCTGGGAGGACCCGCCCTTATCGGCATGTTGCAGAGGATTGCGGTCGGTCAATGGACTCCTCGTAAACAGGCATGTAAACGCCGTCACAGCCTTGTAAGTTGCTAGCCAATTCGCTGTAGCAACTCAACAATTCCCCTCTGACGAAGCAAGGCTTGCGGATAAAGGCTAAGAATGCGGTTAACCGGCTTGCGTCCCACAATAACGCGGCCTACAAGCGGTCAACCGTTAGCTTACAGCGTTCCGAGTCACGAAGCTCTCTGCCCAGCGTAAAACGTAAAAGCGATAAACTCAACAGATGCTGGTGAAGATGCTTGTGACTAGTCGCGGGCAGCATGTAGCCGGCGAGTATTTTATGCCTCTTGCCACTTTGGTTACTCCGCCTAAGCGTGGTTCATCACATTCCGTGCCCAAGAATTAATGCGAGCTGTCACAAAGTCACGGATGTGCTAGTCGGCGGCACGAGCCGCCGAAGTCACCACTAATTTCTTTTTTTGCCCGCGGCGTATGGCGGCGATTGGCCGAAATCTAGTGACAGAGTATGTTCGTACGCGCGGCGGTTAAGCTGAGCACCAAATTAAACCAGACAAAGTGGCGGTATATACTGTAGTTGGATAAGTCTTGAGTCGTGTCTATAAACATTTTCGCCAGGATGCGTTTCGTGGTTCTATATGTATAGACACAGGCTGCGGCTGCGGATGATGACCAAAAAAACCGGAGTATATTGAGGGGGCGTGCAACGACCTTGCGCGATTAACAAGGTAGGTGGACAGATGTCAATGTCAATCCTACCCTCCAATTCAGAGGGGCCTTCGTGTCAGTGCGCTATGCTAAGGCACGTGGACAAATGTCCGACAACTAATAACACCAGACGGTTGCTTGACCCCTGTTGCGTTAGGCGTGGGGACGTTTACGCGGTAGTTGAAGTTCTTGACCGATCAATTGATGTCTATTATTAACCGGCCCCCCCTGCAATGAGTTCTCGTCACGCCAGAATAACTGTTGTTGGTGCCTTGGGATCCAGGCCACAAGGGACGGGCGCAATGTACACTGGACGAGTATTGGCTGTCAGATACATCCGCCGCGTTGCTCAAGATCAAAGACAGCGAGGGCCAATTGGTCGGCCGTATCACGTGGGGCCACGGAAAGAGTAGATCAAGAAGTGCGAGTGCCTCACCTGGACTTACGACGCCGAGCCGGTGGGTGGTGGTCGGAGAGCGCAAAAGAGATGTATCGTGCAGAAGACGATGTGAAGCATGTAGTTGAGCTGTCAAATGTGCGCCCTGCTCGGTGAGGTTGCTCTCAAAGGGTCTGGTCATCCAAGGCAGCAAGATGTAGGGCGGCCCTTCTTAATAGGCCAGGCCATGGTAAGCTACATGCGGGGTGAACAATTGGGCTGCGGATTCGGCAGCCTCAACTTGTTTGGGCTAACTCAGGCACCCCAGACTGAACTTCGCTCCTAATCGCTGAGAGACTTGTGCATTAGCGACTGGTAGGCGTCACATCTCCCTCGCCCGAAACACTACACAATATGATAGCTTGACAGCAAAGGAAGAGTTCCTTTTGACATCTGAAGCATTCTCTTGATGCGAATATGGGTCATCGAGGGCTAGACGAGTACAAAAGCCGTCCGGCCATTTCCTTTTCCTTTATACGCTGTTCCTTCTCTCTCTTTTTCTTCCAGCTTCCAATTCCAAGTCCCTGAGCTAGCAACTCTTATACTCCAGAGAAACAGACCATATTACAAGGTGTGACTCTCCCTTCAGTTCCCTCATCAAGAAGGCCTGCTGAGTTCCGATAAAATATGAGGAGACCCCAATAAGAACGACAATCATGCCGAGCGAGGTCGTGAAATGCCCTGGTGGTTGTGGCACAGATATATCATCGACTCAGTCGAAAGAGGATTGTCCCACTTGCGCCAGGTATGAGAACGCTTGACTCGAGCATTTACTCTTTATAGCACCAATTTGACATAATATGTAGCAAAAAAAAGGGTAAAGCGGCTTAGCTCTGCGATGGCGCTGTTGAGAAAGGAAGGCCAAGGCGACGGTGCATGCTTATTAAAATTAAATAGCCAAATAAGTAGCCATCCTGGACAAAATAAAACTGCGTCTTCCTTTCAACTTCCCTAGTCCTGAACCGCTGCCCCTCTTCCATTGGGTGAGAACTACAACTGCTCCCCCAGTTTTTCCTTCAGCGATGGCAGGTGCTGCATCTCTACTTCGACACAGTGACCCAAGAGCCACTCGCGACACCGCTCCTTATCATCCTCCTCATCCCCACACGGAGCGCTGGGTCCTTTTCGCTTCCAATACGGCTGCTCAAACCACTCGGGCCAGAAGCCGCCATACTCCCAGTCAATGATGGCGTTGATTTTGAGTGTCTCGGGGTCGACAATGACGTTGTGCTGGCCCAGATCGTTGTGACAGAAAACGTAGCTCCCCTTGTCCATACCGGGCTTCGGCTGCCAGCAACTGTGGTGCTTCCAGAACCGGCTGTGGATCCGATTGGGAGCACATAGCAGCGTCTGACCTGGCACCCCGGGGGTGTCGGATCGGAGCGACTTGAGCGTAGCCATGTGCTCAAGCAGCTCCTTGCCGACGAGCTCCTTCTGCTCTTCAGAGAGCTGGGACATGTTGACCCCCGGCACGAGTTCGGTACTGAAGTAGAAGGCCCCGTCGTCCTCAAAGGTGTGCTGCAGCCGCGGGAGCGGGATGTTTGTCTTCTCCCGGAGGTATAGTAGGATCGCGGCGTCCGTCTTCCATCGCTGAGGCAGGGAGGCGGATGGCGTCCAGTTGGCCGCCGTTGTCATCCACTCGTGCCGCCGAAGGGTTCGCTTGATGAACGAATTTCCTACCTCGTAGTATTTTTTATCTGGAGTAATTCCAGTGCAACCTGGCTCACGGTGCTTGTTCATGTCTTGGTTGGACACCATTTTGGTACGTGCGAGGGGCAAAAAGCAATTGAAGGATCTATAAGCCAGGAGCGCGGCCGTCCTTCCCGAAGAGTGACGAGAGGTAGATGAACAGGTATGGCTTTAGCGAGAAACGTCTGATGGCTTTTATAAACCCAACGACCGCACTCGAAAATGGTTCTAGCCGACGAGGAGTAGTTGCGGTTTTTGGAGGGAGAGTGATGAAGCGGTGAGCGGCAGGAAAACCTGACCACCGTGAGAGATTGAGGCTGCCTAATTATACACATTGGCGATCACGTGGTTACTGTTGAACGTCACAGCGGAA